GCATCAAGGGTCAGGTTACCGCAACCGGGCAATAATACCTATAAATAGACGACTGAGCTTTTTTGTGGAATTTCTGGAAATTCTTAGATAGTCCTGCACTTACTGAATATGCTAATAAAGCAATATGTAACAGACGAAAGAGCAGAGATAGCCAATATTTGACGATAGGTGTTGAATAGAATAAACACAAAGATGGAGGAGCTCGCCGACTTATTCGAGGCTGAAAGTGCATCTACAGTAACCAACAAGCTTGAAATATTGCAGTTGGTACCCTTTTGGTGAAAACAGCATCTTCTCCATCGACATCCTCAATATTTAGAGGAAAAACCATGGATTGAGGTGTGGCTGATTCAGTAAGCGCCAACTGAGGCATAGAATGTCCCGCGGCTACTGCGCTAAGCACATCACTTCGGCCAGAGATCACACTGAATGAGCATCAGTTTGTATCATTGAATCGTATTACGGTAAAGATGCTACCTATAGGTAGAGATGGCTCGAACTCGTTTCGGCTGTCGACCCATTTCAAGTAAAGCAACAGTAGGCGACTTCTTTTCGGATCCAGAATGTATGGAAAGATTGCTTCGCACACATATCCACCATCGAATGGGCAAAATAAATACGGCTAAAAGCAGGTAGGCAAATCTTAAGGCTGAGCTTTAACTCCTTATTTTATGCGGCGGAATTCAAAACTTCTTATTGCCAACCTGCCAGTAAGGTCTTCAACCATCTCGGTAAAAATGACGAAGAGCAAGTCTGCAGCTGTCCATATAACAGTCTATGTACCCATCGTTGGCAGGATTCATGTGCTACGAGGCCCCGAATATTAAACTATAAATAAACCCCACTTTACCTAAGCGTTTATAATGAAAATAGCACTAAACCTGAAATGCAAGTTGTGATAGCGTGGCGCCATGAAATCCTTCTAACGGCTGACATAGTAGCTGATAAGCTTTATTCGGTGAGGTACGATGAACCTTATCAACCAGGGAAACTGCTGAACCGGAAAGAGAATCGGCAAGTCTCTGCAGTGATTCCTCATAGAAGAACCAATCGTGGGACTAAAAAATTTGCTGTGATTTCGAAATTTTGGAAATTTCGTGAAACGCACCTCTCGAGCTAACGACTTGGCCAATCTTGAAAGGACTAAAGCAAAAGCTACAGGTTGATCAGAAAATGCACAAAGACAGCGTACAACCTCTGGCCGATGTAAAAGTAGGCACCAGATCTGGA